GCAGCCAGAGAGAGATCTGATCCCTCTTCGTGAACAAAGAGACCGAGGCAGCGGGCCGAGGAGGCAGGCCTGCAGGCGGAGAGCAGAGGCATTGCCTGTGGGTATGAACTTGCTGTGGTGAGGAGACACAGCGGCTCTGCCAAGGGGGCAGGAAGGGCACCGCAGAAAATTCCCGAGCGCGTACATGTGGACTCAGGCATGTGCCCAGATGTATGTTTGGATGGATATGAGTGCACAGGCATGTATGTAGGCCTGTGTGCATGGACATGTGGTGCTGTCTAGCTCTGGTTGTGAGCACACCTGTAGCTGTGAGTGCACACATGAACTTGTGAAAACCTATATACCTGTGTTGCTGTGCACACAGCGTGTGCGTGTGCGTGTGCCATGTGATATATGTATGTATATATAGTGCGGGTGTGTTTATGTGTGTATGAGTATCCGTGCACGGGCATGTACTGTATAGGTGTATGTTATGTGTGCTATTCTTGTGCATATGTGTGCTTGTATGTATACGCAATGGGTGTGCGGGTGTAGAGATCTATGCATATCCATGTTAATATATGTCTGTGTTAATATATGCACATGCATGCATTGGTCAGGGTCCTCTTGAATGATTCTGTATATATCACATGTATATATATTTCCATACACACACAAGGGGCGTTGACTGGAATGATTTACAGGCTGTGCTCCACCTAATCCAACAGTGCTGCATGTGGATAGAGAGGCCACGCATCCAGAAGCTGCTCGGCCCATGAGGCTGAAGTCCGTGGCCCTCAGTGCATGCTGGAATGCACGGAAAAAGGCTCTCATGCCAGGGAAGAAATGGACTAGCTAGCAAGACACGAGCAAACAAGAGCAAAAACTTCCTTCTTCCCGGTTCTTAGGCTTGGAGCAGAAGGCGCGGTGCAGACTAAAGGCGAGTCTCTCCGAAACTCAAAGGATCTGGATTAAAGGCAGGTCTTCCTGCTTCAAGACCCAGATTAAAGGTGTGTCTCTCCCTACTTTAAATTAAGCAAAAATCCCTTACAGGTGTACTCTACGTTTTTGGGTTTTAGTTAATTCCAAGTGTCGTCAAGTTGACAACCAAGAAGAGCATCACAGTAGACATATCTAGTGTGTGTGTGAATAGATACATGTGTGCATTACTGATATTTATATCATGGGTGTGGCACCGTGTGCGTGACCGTACGTGCAGGCATCAATATGTACACGTGTGTGAGTATCTGGTGCACGTGTGTGGATAATGACGAGTGTATGAGTTCACCTAAATGTAGCAGTGGCTGTCCACATGTCTATGCAGGGCTGTGTGTGTCCCATGAGTGTGTGAGGCATGTGCTTACATGAAGAGGCTTCTCTGAGGGCTAAGGTTTGAGGTGGAAACTGGACCAGGCCAGAGGAGAGGTCATGGTACCGAGGGAGGTCAGGAGAGGGCGAAGGGCTTACCTGATGTACTTTCTGTTGTAATCAACACTGACCAAAATCAAACTGGGGAGGAAAGAGTTCATTTGGCTTCCGGGCTGCTGGGGCAGGAGCTCAAGGCTGGAACTGAACCAGGGGCCTGGAGGGACGCTGCTGCTTATGGGTCTGCTTCCCCTGGCTTGCTCAGTTATTTTTCTTCTATAGATCCACCTGCCTGGGAATGCTACCGCCCACGGTGGGCTGGGCCCTCGGCGGGCAGGCGTGTGGACCCAGTGAGGAACAAAGGGAGATGTGCGTGGCATGCTGACCAGTCTGGGAAACCCAGTGCACAGTGGTCCCAGTGGGGCAGAAGGAAGGGCAGCTGCTAGGGAAGGGCTCTGAGGACAGCAAGCCCTTCCCTCTGCCAGAAAGGACAGAAAACCCTGCCCAGGGTTCCAGGGAGGAGCCAGAACTATGACGCTTCCTCCCTTCAGCAAGGACCCCAACAAGGACAGTCTGAGTCCCTCTCAGTGGCAGGAAAGTGTAGGAAGGGGGAATCTGAGCCCAGGGGGCACCAAATGCTACCTGAAGGGGTCCTCTCTAGCTGGCTTCTGCTGCTAGGATGGATGGGTGGACAGAGGATGCCCACAGAGGTCGGAACGAAGCCTGGTGGCTCCCTCCTGAGGACAGGCAACTCTAGGGCCAGGAGGGAGAAACCTGCTGTCCCTTTCCAGTGCTGGCTTGCCAGTTGGGTCCAATGCCTTCTGAGTGCCGTGGGGATGATTAGGAGTGCAAGAGCCGAGGGAGACCCCTTGTGGTCACTTCTGTGCATGACAGGCAAGGCTTCTAAATTTTGAGTATGTATGTACCTTACATGTATCCTCCTCCTCCCCTTTTGCCCTCTTCACTTTCTCCTCCTCTTCCTTTCTCTCCTTCTCCTCTGCCTCTTCCCCTCCCTTTCTCCACCTTCTTCTTTCTCCTAACCTCTTCTACCCGTCCTCTTCCACATTCTCCCTCTCTTCCTCTTTTTCCCCATTCTCTCTTCCCCTTCCTTCTCTTCCTCTCCCTCCTTCATGCCGCCTAAGCTAAAGCTAAGACCAGGCTGTGGTCTGCTGTAGGTTACTCCACACTGGGTAAAACAGTGCTTTTCCAGGCTGTGTCTTACCAGGAGTCTCCATTGTCACCTCTGGGGAGGAGGAGGGTGGTGCCTGAAATGATCTGCAGACATCATCATCGTTCTAGCATCACCCATGCAGTACAGACAGACCAGCATGTGACTTAGAGTCCTGGGAGCAGAAAGCTGGGCTGTGTGTGTGTGTGTGTGTGCGTGTGTGTGTTTTGACACAGGGTTTCTTTGTGTAGCTTTGGCTGTCCTGGACTCACTTTGTAGACTGGGTTGGTCTTGAACTCACCAGAGATCCACCTGCCTCTGCTGCCCCAAGTGCTGGGATTACAGGCATGTGCCAGTGGGCCGTGGAACACACCTTTAGTTCCAGCACTCGGGAGGAGAAGGCAGGCGGAGCAAACCAGTGAGCAGCACTCCTCCACGGCCTCTGGTCCAGTGCCTGTGAATTCCAGGACAGCCTGGTCTACACAGGTAAGGTCCAGGACACACAAGGGATACACAGTGAGATCCTGTCTAAAAAAGCAATAATGAATGAATGATGAATGAATGGATGGATGGATGAATAGATGGATGGATGAATAAAAAAAATTAAAGATATTTTATATTTATACTTATAAATAAGGGTGCCACACTTCAGGATCAATCAAGACTCTAGGGGCATAGGGGTGCTTGGAATTATTTTCAGGAAAATATAGTGAGACACCAAGCCCTGCGATGGGGGTGGCTCCACAGCTTCCTGTCATCTGATACCCAGGGTGTGTGTGAAGGACCAGTATGTTGAACACTCCAGACTGGCCCCTCAGCTCAGGGGGCTTAGACCAGGGAAACACGGAATGCTGTAAGCCGGGCTTAGGAGGGGCATGGAAGACCGTAGCGCTGAGAGCTGTGGGCGGTGGACGTCGAGCTCTCGAGGTTTCAGAGGGAAACGTTAGCGGCTGCGCTAGAGAACTGTTCTTGGGATATTTTGGCAAAGACTGTTGGCTGCTTTTCGCCCTGTGAATCTGCTTGAGGCAACATTGAAGAGTTTGGGAATAACTCTGTTGTCAGGTTTCAGGAAGCCTAGGACCCCTGTCTGTGGTTATCGGTGGCCGCTCAGTGATCCAGAAAACAAGCCAGAAGACAGGTTTCTGTGTGCCAGGAACTTCCCTTAATCTGCTGGAGACCTCCCGTAACCTTCCCCCAGATGTCAGCTACCTCGCTGTGGGGGTGGGGGAGGCACCTAGTCCCTTGCCAATCCCAAAAACCTGTATCAGCTCAGATCCCCACCCTGCTGCCTGTCATACATCTGCTTGCTTTTCCGCCATCTTGCTCTTCTTTCTGCCCCACTCCACCCCCCCACCCCCCCACACAGATAGCCTTGGCAGTTTGTTGCCCAATAAATCTTTCTACCCCTGGAGAGGTCTAATTTGGTAGTTTTTCTGTGCCATCACCTATGTATAGGAAGTATGTAATTTGGTTTCACAGAGGGTCGAAATTAAGAGACTGCCTCAAAGTCTATTTTGAAGTTGGACCGAATTCACTTTGAATTATAATATGGCTACAAGCCTACGGGGGCTAGGGACTGAAATAGTGGTGGTTAAAACGTAAATGGCCCCCAGAAGTTGTTTGGGAAGGATTAGGAGGTGTGGCCTTGTTGGAGGCGGTGTCACTGGGGATGGGCTTTGAGGTTTCCAAGCCCATCTGTTCCCAGTGAGCTCACTGCTGTGCCTGTGGGCCAGATGTACTCTCTCAGCTACTCTTCCAACACCATGTCCGCCTGTCCACCCTCCAGCCGCCTGCCTGTCTGCCGCCATGCTCCACACCCTGGTCACAGACTGGTCCTCAGAAACCATAAGCCTCACTAACTGCTTTATTCTAGGAGTTTTTCTGGCCGGGGTGCTTCGTCCCAAGCAGAGAAGTGACTAGGACAGGACCTCCATGGAGAAGATGCCCCAGCAGATTGTCTATAGGTAAGTCTGTGGGGCATTGTTTTTTAAATTACTGATATGGGAGGACGGTGCCACCCCGGGGCAGGTAGTCGTGGTGTGTATAAGGCAGGCGGAGCAAACCAGTGAGCAGCACTCCTCCACGGCCTTTGGCCCAGCGCCTGCCCTGCCCTCTCAGCGAGGACAGTGATGTGGAACCGTCAGCTTAACAAGGCCCCCACCAGCCTGCGTTTGGCAATAGTGTTTTGTTACCGAAATAGAAACCTATGACCCCTACAGATTAAAAAAAGGCTTGTGTGTGCGTGTGCCTGGGCAAACATGCACACTGAGCTGCACGAACATACACGTGGGAGTCTGAGAACACACTCGGTGTCATCCCGGGGCTGAGGTGAATCTCCTTCAGACCCAGCCCCTCTAAAGCAGTCCCTCCGTCTCCACTCACCTTTCACCTCTCAGTGGAAATCAGCTGGCACTGAGAGCAAAGTCAGGACCCACTCCTGTCCCCAGGATGTCCGAGACAGAAGCAGGCAACAACAGAAGCCCTGCACCTCAGTCACAAGCTTTATTGTCCAAACATGGACTTGCCACACTTCCACAATTCCACTGGGGGGGGGGAGGGATGGCTGAGCCACAGCTGGGTGGCCACACCAGGTAGGCTGGGGGGCACTACAAAGGCCAGTGCTTGTGGGGAATGGCTTCTCGCACACCTACCAGGTGCAAGCCCACTCCAGGCTGGGGCTCAGCCCTGTCTGGTCTCCTGTGGGAGCCTTTGGCTGTTAATCCTAATCTAGGAGCTGCCCAGTTGTGCTGGGAAGAGCAGTACTTGGCTCTGCGGTTGGGCCGCTAAAGCATCAGTCCTAGGCTCTAGGCTGCTGTTGTTAAAGGCAAGTGCGGCCCAAAAGCCAACGGGAAGCAGGGGTTGGGCTGAAAGGGCTAATTCGACTCTTCCTCCCTAAGGGCAAGAGTGACCGCCACCTGCCAGCGCCTGGCAGTGCTCACAGAGGCCATCTGGGCCATCCTGAGGGACTTAACCACACTGTCCTGCCTGGGAAGACAGCAGCAGGGCCCCTCTGTGGGACGCTGGAGTCTTTGGAGTAACAGAGGCTCCCAGAAATAAAGGGAGCCAGGTTGATTTCCCTCACCCAGTTCAACACCATATGATGCTCTGTTTAAAGAGTTCCGTACCTGCTCTCGGATCCAAGCCCCAAGGGCAGGCCTAGCTCAAGGTCAAGATGGGGGCAAGGGTGGGTTTGCGCGCTCACCTAATACTGTAGCTGTCTGCTCAGTGCTTTCTGGAAGGCAGGTGGGAGGCGGGTACATAGAATAGCTTGGCGTCGAGGAATAAAGAGCCCGTCACCCCCAGATCTTCCCTGGCTAGAGAGGCCCAAGAGACCTTGTACCAATGTGTAAAAGAGGCTCGGCATGTGAAGCGAGGAACCCCCTCTCTGGTTTCTGAAGATTGAAGCCCTTCTCAGTGTGTGTATCTGTCCAAGCAGGGCCCCCCGCTTCATCCCTCAGGTGCCTGCAAGGGGACCTGGGGACATCAGAAGAAAGGGAGGCCAAGAAGTAACCAGCTGCCCAGACAAGCTTTAGGACAGCCTGCTATAGCCAAGAGAGGCCCAACTGGATTGCTTCAGCCTCTGCAAATTCGAGAAGCTCCCTGGGACAAGAGAGATTCTCCGGGGCCAGGCCCAGCCGTACTGCGCCCTGTGGAAGGCTGTGTCTACGGGAGCCTCCTGGGCCGGCAGGGGGTTCAGGTGGAACTTGTCCACGGCAGTGAGGCCAGTACAAACAGTCTCATCTCCAAGGGACAGCGCTGGCTCCTGCCTGAAGGTGGTGCTGCCGGGAAGCCTGGCAGGGCTCTGGTGTGAAGGGGGCCCGGTCCGTGATGTCCCTTGGGGTCAGTGTTTGTCCTAGAGAGAACAAGGACTCTGTCATCAGGAGTCTTGAAGGAGGAATGGGCAGAGGAGGGAGGGACAAGGGGGAAGAGAGCAGGTAGGACACAGCACGACTCAGAGCCCCGTGGCGGGAAAGCCTGAATTCCACGAGGAAACTGAAGCGTCTGTGGATGATGGAGCTGAAGAAATAAGAAGCGATCTGCAAGCCTCGGTTTCCACATCTGGGATGACCATGTTTCTTACAAGGTCGCCAGGGAAGCAAACCTTCATGTGGTCTAAATATGACCACATGGTGATATTTAGTTCCCAGAGTGGCCAGCAACTGTGCCACCCCAACCCTGCCCTCTTCAGTCCCACCTGGTCCTCAGCTCCATGGCTAGGCACAGCCTTCCGGATCTTTGCCCCTGCTCCTGGCCCTCATGGAGCAGCTGGAAGGCCAAGGGGCAAGCTGAGTTTGTTTTTAACTCCAGCCTGCCTGGGTCACACAGCTAGCCGGGGCAGGGGGTCTCCTAAGACCAGGAGCTAAGTCAGTCACGGGTGTTTGCAATCATGTGGGAGGAAGCTAGCGGAAGAGCTGGGAAACTGGGATACTGTGTCTCCCAAAACCAAGAGCTGTGGGCATGGCTCAGCAGCAGAGGACTTACCTAGAATCCCCTAGTGAGGGGCTAGGAGTGGAATCAATGCCCTGGGTTCCATTCCCAGAACCACAGGAAAAAACAGAACCCAACAAAGTAAAGTAGGACTGTTCCTGGATGGATTCACTAGTACTAGAATCTTCCCAAGCAAGCAACGCTATTGTTATAGGACAGATACACACAAAACATTCACCCTCGTTCCTCTGTATATCTTGAGACTCCCAGAGGGCTGGCTCGGGTAGCCTGCTGGCATGCTTACCTCCTGTTTGTGGGCCTTGTCTGGCTGGTGGATACCATTGGCAGAACCGGAATTGCTGATGGTCTGTGAGGGAATGAGGGATGGGGAGGGGAGGAGACACTGAGCAGGCAGCCAGGATGCAGTTCCACCTATAACCACAAGGTGGTGATCTTCCCATGGGGCCAGCCAGGCTCAGAACCAAGCCGTTTATAGACAGGTCTCCACGGACAGCCCTGGGCGTTCGCTCACCTGAATTCTATCTGAGCATCCCCTCAGGGCCTCCACCAGCCTCTCCACCTGCTGGGCCTGGTCCAGAGCATCTCGCAGGGTGTCCTCTGTGCTCACCAGCTGGTGCTGCAGCCTCAACAGCTCGGGGGCTGACCCGGGGTCGATGAGGGAGTAGCGTCTCTGCTCTGACAGGGACTTCTCCTTGTCCTGGAAGGGGGAAGGTGTGGGAATCCCTCTGTTCCAACTCAGAGTCAACTAACACCCAGTATTCCTCCTTTGCTTCCAAGTCCACATGACATTCCCCTGACCTGTGCCTGGCCCCTTACAGTATCTTTTCCTGCTGGGTGGTGGCGCACGCCTGTGAGCCCAGCACTCAGGGAGGCAGAGGCAGGCGGATCTCTGTGAGTTCGAGGCCAGCCTGGTCTACAAAGTGAGTCCAGGACAGCCAAGGCTACACAGAGAAACCCTGTCTCAAAAACAAAAACCAACCAACCAAACAAAAAAATCCAAACCCAAACCCAAAACCACCACCAGCAGAAAGAACAAGCGTCTTCCCCCTCCCTGCCATGATAGTCAGTGTCCACTCTGCCCTCCTGCCCAATTGTCCAAGGCGCACCTGCCAAGCCCAGCCTCCTCCTTCCCCTCAGCCCAGTCCGGGACTTCCGGCCAGGCTCTGAGCTTCTGTGCAAACCTCCCCGCAGCTCCAGCATCACTCTCTTCATGCGGCTCCCACCTTTTCACGCTGCTCTTCCCAAGCACATCGGCCCGGAGCCCCACATGTACAACTTGAATCCAACGCGGCTCTGGGAATGCCACCAGCCCAGGACCCTGTCTCCTCCTGTGCCACAGTGCCACACAGGAGGACGTGTGTGTGTGGCACTTCACCAGGCCAGACACAGGACTAGCATGCCGGCGGGGCAGCTAGGCCCAACAACTTCCATACCTAGAACCAGGTATGAAACCAGATGGAGCCTGTATGGCTAAAGAGCTCTTGGTTTTCCGATACAGGGTCTCACGCCGGCACGGAACTTGCTGTGTAGCTGAGGCTAACCCTGAGGGTCTGATCCCCAGACTTCTGCCTCCCCGGTGCTGGGATTACGGGCACAGGCCACTACATTTGGTTTTTATGTAGTGCTGGGAACAGCTTCCTGTCCTTTATTGTTCTCCCTTCCCTTCCAGGCTGTGGATTCCTCCAGCACAGCAAACCCTATACTCCAACGTGTGGGCGCCAAAAGGCTCCTTGGTCCACCCAATCTATATGGCAGACATGGCCAGAGTCTCGGGCTGTAAATGTCAACCAGAAAGGGAAGGGGGGTTCCAGCTCTGTCCCATTCTGTCAGTTCCGCCATCTGCCTCTGTTTCCCAATCCAATGGTAAGTCAGGTGCTTTCCTGACCTTGAACCTCTAGCCTCTCTGCTGACACAACCCTGTACGTCACTGAACAAGGAGCCCAGCCCCCTTGTTTCTGGTTGGATATCTCCCTGCACGGATTTTTTTTTTCCAGACAGTTTTTCTAAGTAGCCTTGGCTGTCTTGAAACTCTCTTTGTAGACCAGGCTGGTCTTGAACTCACAGAGATCTGCCTGCCTCTGCCTCCTGAGTGATAGGATTAAAGGCACCTGGCTCTTGCATGGAAATTTTTAACCTTCATACATGGCTGATTTTTGCCCTTCTGGCTCTGGAAAGACTGGACTCAGTCTGTTGATCCAGGGTCCAGGGGCTTCTCTGGCCCGCCACCTACTACCTGCTTGAGATGCTGTACTTTCAGCCCCCGTCCCGTGACTCTGGGAAGTCACGGGTCCCAGCCTGGCAGCAGGACAGCCCTAGCACCCCTCTCCTCCCCCAATTTGCCCCCACGTACCAGCCCAGTCAGCTTCTCCCGCAGGCCCCGGATGTCATCCTTCAGTTTCTGTTCCTTTATCCGCCATTCAGCCTTGTGAACCTCACGGCTCAGGTCTCTCTCGGGCCCTGGGGAGTGACGATTCGCTTCCAACAGCAACACCCTTAACTCATTCAGGCTCCTGGAGTGGGCAGACAGTCACAGAACCAGGACATCAGCGCCACACCTCACCCCATAATGTAGTATGAGCCACGTACCACCAGGGGGCAGAAGCCACAAGGCAATGTGGCAAGAGGCTGCCACACCCAAGCGGAACAGCATTCGGATGCTCAAGAGGACTCTTAGAGCTCTAGGCTGCTCTTAGAGCTTTCTTTGTTTGAAAGATTTATTTGTTTTGTTTTACATATAAGGGTGCTTGGTCTTCACGTATGTCTGTGCACCACATGCCTGCCTGGTGTCCCCAGAGGCTAGAAGGTCGGGTCGGAGCCCTTGGAACTGGAGGTATAGATATTTGTCAGCCACCATGTAGCTGCTGGGAATAAAACAGATCATCTGGAAGAGCAGACATCTCCCCAGACTCAGACTTCTTGTTTTGTTTCAAGACAGGGTTTCTCGGTGTAGCCTCAGCTGTCCTGGACTCGCTTTGTAGACCAGGCTGGCCTTGAACTCACAGAGATCTTTGCCTTTGCCTTCCTGAGTGTTGGGATTACAGCATGTGTCACTGTGCCCTTCAACTTCCCCCCCCTTTCCGTTCTGAGACAGGGTTCAGCCTGGGCTGGCCTCCAACTCTCTACGTGCTCCCTTGCATTCCTGATCCTCCCCTCCCAAGCTCCCCATTATGTCAGAAGGTATGCATGCCAGGCTGGCTCTCTACGGGCCGCATCTGTCAGCCTCGTGGAAATCTCTTGAATGCTGAGACCACACGCACAATTGTGGTGGGCTACCAGTCTGGATGTAGCATTAAATGAGAGAAGTTTTTCGGAGTCAGAGAGGCCAGGTGAGGGGGCTCTGCGGGTAAAGGCACTTGCCACTGAGTATGAGGACCTGAGTTCAATTCCTGGGGCCCGCATGGTAGAAGGAGCGCACTGACTCCTGCGAGTTGTCTTTGGCCTCCACACACGCTCTGAGGCATGCACAACCTCCCAGAGGCAGAGAACGTAGATAAACACATGAATAAAAAAATGAATAAATAAATCATTCGATTATTATTATTATTTTACAAACGAAATCAAACCACATCTGAAAAACATTTTGTTATTTATGTTAGATGAGTTGGGCATGGTAGCTCACCCCTATAGTCCTAACATGTGGGAAACTGAGGCAGGAAGGACTAGGGAGTTCAAGGCGAGCCTGGGGTACACAGACAGACCTTGTCTCTAGAAAACAAAAGTTGGAGCTGGAGAAATGGCTCAGTGTTAAGAGCACTGGCTGTTCTTTCAGGTCCTAGGTTTGATTCTCAGCTCCTATAAAGATGGTCACAACCATCTGTAACCCCAGTCCAGGGATCTGATTCTCCCTTCTGGCTTCCACAGGTACCTGCTTAGACCGGGGGGGGGAGGGGGCACCTTCAGGTGCACACACACAAAATCAGAAATAGAGAAATCTTTAAAAAGAAACACAAGGGGGCTGGAGAGATAGATGGCTCAGAGGTTAAGAACACTGGCTGTTCTACCAAAGGTCCTGAGTTCAATTCACAGCAACCACATGGTGGCTCCCAACCATCTATAGTGAGATCTGGTGCCCTCTTCTGGCATGCAGGTGTACATGCAGGCAGAACACTGTATATATAATAAATAAATAAATCTTTAAAAAAAAAAAAAAAGAAAGAAACACAAATGTTTCCTGAGTAAACCTAATTATTTTCCCAAGTGGAAAGATATCCCAAGACCACAATGTTAGGGGAACACTCCTCCTTCTCACATACGGACTCTGAGGGGCTAGAGAGATGGCTCAATACCTAGAACACTTATTGTTCTTGCAGCAGAGCCGGGTTCTGTTCCCAGAGTCCATGTGGTAGCTCACAACCATCTGTATCTCCAGTTCCCAGGGATATGATGTCCTGTTCTGACCTCTGTGAGCACCAGGTATACACTCAGGGGAAACACTCACATACATAAGGAATACATCAAAAAGATTAAATAATGTTGATGATGATAGTGACGAGAAGAGGAAGAGAAAGCGGAAGAAGGGGAGGAAGAGGAGAAAATCTCACCTCTCCTTCCGTAGCAACTCTTGGCTGATGTGGACCAGCTGGCCTGAGGCATCATGGGTCTTCCGAGACACCGTCTCCAGCTCTGCCTCTAGGCGTCTCTTTTCCTTCAGGAGAGAATCCATCTTCTTCTCTCCCGACTTGCACTTGTTCTCCAGGGCTGAGGGAAGCCACAGAAAAAGAAGAAAGTTCAAACACAGATGGGAACTGGTGGTGTGGTTCAGTGTGAAGAGTGCTGGCCCCAGCAAATCAGAGGCCCTAGGTTCGATTCCCAGCAGTGCCAAAACTGGAACAAGATCAAACAGGCCTGTGATCTAAGCACTTCAGAGGTGGAAGCAGGAGGATCAGGAACTCAAGGCCAGGTTTGGGACCAGCTGGGTCTCAGGAGACCCTGCCTTAAACACCAGACACGCTGGTCTGGCTAGGGTGGGAGATGATAGCAATGCTACCCTAAGAGACAGGCAGCGCCAAGCATTGTGCACAGGGGATCGAGGCTGAGGCAGGAGGATCATGAGTTCAAAGCTATAGTGGCTACATAGTGAGTTTCAAGCCAGCCTAGGCTACAGAGACACTGTTCCCAAACAAACAAACAAACAAACAACAACAAAACAGCATCAAGTCTGGGTGGGATGTTGCTCAGTTAGTGGAGGGCTTGCCTAGCATGCATGATGCCCTGGGTTCAGTCCCCAGCACACATAAACCAGGCCTGGAAGTGCACACCTGTCCCCTCAGCACTTGGGAGGCAGGAGGATTAGAAGTTCAAGGTCATCCTCAGCTTTGCTGGGAATTCAGGACCTGCTGTGGCTACATGAGACTGCCTCAAAAAAGAAAAAGGAAGAAAAAGAAAGAAAAAGGTAGTATCCTAGTTAGAATTGCTGTCACTGTCAGCTGGGTACGGCCTAGAACTGACTGAAAAGAGAATTGCAGTTGAGTTATTGTCCTTGTCAGGTTAGTCTGTGTTGTTCTGTGGGACTGTTCTGATTGTTCATTGATGTTAGCAGTCCTGGCACACTGTGGGTGGCACCATTCCCTAGGCAGGCGGTCCTGGGCTGTATAACAAAGCTCACTACACACCAGACAGCTACCAAGCCAGCAAGCAACCTTCCCTGTGGTTTCTGCCACAAGCTCCTGCTTGAGTCTCTGCCCTGACTTCCTTCAGTGATGGACTATGACCTGGAAGGGTAAGCCAAACAACTCTAACCAACAGCTTCAAAAGCAGACGAGCTCTATCAAGCCAGCATCCCTAGCTCTGTAGGGTGGGGGTTTACGGAAGATTCCGTGGATGTTGACACTGTTATCCAGACAAGGAAAGAGCTAAAGCTATGTCTTCACTTTGGCCTTGGGAGAGGCTAGAGCCCACTGACCTTTGTCAAGGCCTGTGAGGCCAGGCAAATGCAACCAGGACTGGAAGAAAGAGGGGAGAAGACCATCCCCTCGAATGGCAGTAGTGGTGGTGGCGGCTCCTGGAACAATGCCACCAGCACTCTGAATCAGTGAGCCCCAGTTACCAATTCCAGACTTCTGACCTTTCCCAGGCCCTGTCGGTATATTTTGCTTTTAGCTGTGGCCCAAGTTCTATATTCTACTTCTTTTGAGACATACTCCTACGTAGCCCAGGCTGGCCCCAGAATTTCAAGGAAGCTTTGCACTTCCTGATCCTCCTGCCTCTACCTCCTGAGTGCTGGGTGCAGCCTCATGCCAGACTTCCTGGGGTTCACAATACCTGCTGGGGATTTGGGGCTGCACAGACAAGGCCTGTGAGAAACTCAAGTCTTCAAGAAGGCCGTGAAGTAAACTTGGTGGGATCTAGAGGCATGATCTCAGTTGTCTCTGGGGACAAGACAGTGTTTACACACATCTGGTAGCTCAGTACAGCTCGGGCATAGGTGTAAAGCTGACAGCCAAGCTTAGCGAGACCTTCAGAACCAGAGTGGCAGCCCCTACCAACCCGACATCTGTCCCTACGGAGGAGAGACTTACCACTTACTTGGGCCCTGAGCATGTCCATCTGAGATGTCAAGGCTGCCACCTCTTTGTCCCTCTTGTTCAGCTTGTCCTGTAGGCCTAGGAGAGAAAAGGAAGACGGGGACCCATGAACACCCGAGGGCCAGTAGCATGGGCAAGGGGTGACCCCTCCTGGGGGATCCTAAAAGGGGTCCCACTCAGCCTCTAGCGCCAAAGACCTTTTCTCTCCTTCTGAGTCACCTGCCCAGACGTTGATCCAGTAGTGTACTGCTTAGGCAACGCTGACCTCCAGCTCTGCTTTCCTCAAGCAAAAGATAGAGGAACTATGAAATAAAGATGGTGGCCGCAGACACAGCAAGAGGACTTTGCGTTGGCTCGTTTCCCAGACCTGTCAGGAAGACGCTTCGCTTCGGAGCATACTGAAGGGTCTCCAGTTCATCAGTTTATCAACCATCTCTTTCACACAGCCCAGGCTGGCCTCAAATATTACATAGCTGGGGATAACCTGAACTCCTGACCTTCTTGATAACCCTGAACTCCACTTCCCACATGCTAGGACATGCACCACCATGTCTAGTTGTGTGTGGTGCTGGGATGGAAGCTGGGCCTTCATGCATGTTAGGCTAGTGCTCTAACTATACCTACTGTTCCTGAAATAGCATCTTGACATATAGCCCAGGCTAGACTTGATCTCATAAGCATCTTATCTCACATAGTTTTTTTCTGAGAAAGGGTCTTGATATGTAGCCCAGGCTATCCCTGAACTCATGGCAAGCTTGCCCTAGCTGTGCTAGTGCTGGGATTATAAGGGTGTGTGTGGCTGGTTCATAACTAATGCAGAGAGGCTTCTGCTTCTGAGAGCGACCTGTTACCACTTGGGGATCGACGAGATTGGCGATTTTAGCCTGCATCCTCTAGTTTCCCCTTTCTGTATAAGGGAAGGTGACTTTCAGTGGTTGCAGATGTGTGTGTGTGTGTGCAGGTGGGGGTCAGAGGGCAACCTGTAGATTTCCACTGTCACGTGCCACCCGGGGGTCAAATTCAACTGGCAGGCTCAGCAGCAAGTGTCTTTACTCAAAGAGCCACCTTGCTGGGCATGGGAAAGTTTGTTGCTGTTTGTTTTGAGATAGGGTTTCTCTGTGTAGCCATGGCTGTCCTGGAACCCTGCCTCTACTTGCCTCTGCCTCCTGAGAACTGGGATTAAAGGTGTACACCACCACTGCCAGGTGGGGAGGTTTTTTTCTTTTCCCCCAGAGACAGGGTTTCTCTGTGTAGTCTTGGCTGTCCCGGACCAGGCTGATCTTGAACTCACAGAGATCTGCCTCCTTCTCCCTCCGGAGTGCTGAGATTAAAGGTGTGTGCCACCACTGCCCGGCTTGGGGAGGTAGTTCTTGAGATCCTGAGACACCTGTTCCTTTGACTGCTCACAGCAGGTGATTCTCAATGAGTAGCTCATGACAGACGCTGTGACTTGGCTCCAAAGTGACTCCCAGCTATCCACAAAGGAGTCCACAAAGACTGGACTCCTACCCAAGGCTACTCACCCTCCACAGTCTCCTTCATCAGAATCTTCTCCTCAGATAGGTCACTGGACTGGATCACCTGTAAGGACAGTCCTGTAAGAGGAAACACCTGCCTCCCTACCCAGGCCAGTGTGCACCTGAACCTGGGAGCAGAGGGCCTGGGGATACAGGCACCCAGTACGCCAGCAGGGGGAGCAGACACACCTGCCCTCGAGCTTTGAGAAAAGGGAAGCCCGAGTTGGCTTCCAGCTGCCTTGCAGGATTCCCCTGCCACCCCTGAACTGCTATTTTGGGGAGTAAGGAGCAGAGGATGGAACTTCGGACCTTTTCCATATAGACAAGTGTTCTATAACTAAGCCACGCCTCCAGCCCCTCACTGGGGAATTCTAGGCAGGTGCTCTACCACTGAGCCACACCCTCAACCCTTAAAAAAATTTCATTTTCCCTATTGACTCATTAGAATAAATAAACTGGCTTTCAAGTCATTCTCTAACTCAGGAAGACTTCAAGATTGTGATTCTCCTACCTCAGCCTCCTTAGTAGCTACAATTACTAAGCCACCAGGTTTGGTTTGGCTATGTTCTTGGCTTAAAATGTTTATTATATTAAATCAGTGTCTTTTTGTTTTGTTTTTTATTGAGACAGGGCTTGGATGTAGCCTTAGATATCCTGGACTTGCTTTGTAAACTAGGCTGGCCTAGAACTCACAAAGATCCACCAGTCTATGCTTCCCAAGTGCTGGGATTACAGGCGTGTGCCCTGCCTGGCTGCCCTGGGAATCTTTTCCAATCATTTCCAGGGCACCGGTCTTGATGTTCCAATCATAAAACAAGCACTGAATGTACAGAGTGAAGCCTAGAGGGCCCATCTAGGCCTGGCTCCTCCAGGGACCTTCTTAACTGCTTTCTTCCCAAAACTTATCTAATAGTAAACTCACATACCAAAGAAGAAAACTGAAAAAGAAAAAAAATGAGAAGCTAGGGAGATGACCCACTTGTAAGTGCTTGCCTTGAGTCTGGGCCCCAGAACCCACATAAAAAAGCTGGGCACAATGGCGCACACTTGTAATCCAAGCACTGGGAAACAGACAGGCTGCTCCTTAGTCCTGATGGCCAAACAGCCACCCTAGCCTACAGGTGCTCCAGGTCTGTTGAACCGTGTAAAAACAAAGTAGATGGTATTCAGGGTTGACCTCTGACCTCTGCACATATGCACTTCACACACACATGTGCATGTGCAGGCATGTGAGCCCGCATGCGCATGTGTCAGCAAGGTGGACTATGGTAGCTTGAATCTGTAATCTTAGCACTTGACAAATAAAGACAAGATCATCAAGAATTTAGGGTTGTCCCTGGCTACAGGGTGAGTTTGAGGCCAGCCTGAGCTACACAGGACCCTACCTCTGACATAACGAAGAAGAAGAGAAAAACAAGTTTCTCCCTGGGAGAAAGGCAACTTTAGAAAAGGCAGGAAGGTGTGCTTTCACACAGACTTGGCGCTAAAGGCCACACGGCAGAGAGACACTGCATGGATTAGACAGTCAAGCCCTAGCTGGACCCCGGCAAGGTTGTTTTAAATGAGGTGTTGGGGTTTGGAGACACCGCTCAGCAGTTAAGAGTGTGTACTGTACTTGCAGAGGGTTTGAGTGCGATTCCCAGCAGCCAAGTCACAGGCTCACAGCCACTCAGACCTCTAGCCCTAGGGGACCTGAACCTCTGGCCTCCACGGCCATCGGTGCTCAGCATGTCCATACCATACATGGTTAAACATAAAACATCTTGAAATGCAGGCTCAGGAGATGTGCCGGTCAGAGCCAGTTAAAACATCCTTTCTAGGCCTGCTGGAATGGACATCGTTCTAATACTCCTTGATCCCCCTTTAAGGGCTGACGGGGCATGCTTTGCTGGAGCAAGGACAGTATAGCTGGCTAATTCTACACAAAATGGGTCATGATGGCTGTGGCCTTTCTAGGAAAGAAAGAGACATCTTTGGGTCTCTAGGGAAGTGTCTGATGAGACAAGGACCTTTCCTTGCCCTTCTTGTGGGTGGGGCCTGAGTACTGGCTACCAGAAGAGCAAAAAAAAAAAAAAAAAAAGGAGGCACTGGCATCCTGTTCAATAGACCATGTGTGTTTGTTCTGTCTGCCAGGGATGAAACCCAGGACATAGGTGAGGACCTATATGGAGCCAGCATTCTATCCCTAAGTCAGTCAGGCAAGTGCTCTGCCACTCAGCTACACCCTCCCCCATTAAAAAAAAAAAAAAAAAAAAGGGACAGAATCTCATTAAGTTGCGGAGGCTGGCTTTGAACTTGCCGTCCTCTGAGCCTCAGACTGCCAGTCTAAGATGATTGGGGTTCAGGGGGCTGGCTGCAACGGCTCTCAAAGCCTGTCTATGGAGGACCAAGCAGGTCCGCCCAGACCACATTGGTCCCTAGGATCACCATGGCTCTGATGGAGGAAGACCAAGGCTCCTCCTCTTGAGCCCCCTTTGGCTAGCTCCAGACACAAGAAAAATGGCCCCTCACTGGCACACAGAGGCCACACCCTCCCGCCCCTCCCCAGCCAGGCCCCACAGGAGCCCTGCGCAGCCTACATGGCCGTGCTGGGATGAGCACAGGGACTCGACCGCCTGCAGTCTGTTCTCAGCCACCAGAAGCTGTTCCCGAAGCCGCTCCGCCTCCTGCCTGCTCTGGACCTCCGCCCTCTGCAGCATCTCGTAATCCAGCAACTTCTTTTCAGCCAGCGAGATCTGCTCTTTGAGGAACTCTATGGCCTGCGCCTGGCCTCGGTACTCCACGTCCAGTCCTTCCAGCTCCTGGACGCGCAGCTGGGCGTCCCGACATTGGTCCTGGGCTTCCTGGAGCTGCAGCCGGTGCTGGCTGGCCTGCTCCTCCAGCTGCGCCCTCCAGTGCTGCTGCACCTCAGCCAACTCTTCCTGGGCCTCTTGCAGCTTCTGCCGCAGGCCCTCCTTCTCCTTCCCGTGCATGGCCGTCTCCAGGTCGTGCTTGGCCTGCAGGTTGCCTAACTCCAGCTGGTGCTCCATCTTGATGCCCTCCACCAGCGCCTTCAGCTCTCCGATCTCCTTCTGCTGAGCGCCAGGGCCGGAGTTCAGCGTGGCCTTCAGGTCCTCCAGGGACTTCTGGTGATCAGAGGCCAGTGAGTCCAGCTTGGATTTCCAGTTATCCATGAGTCCCATGTTCTCGCTGGTGGCCTGCTGGACCTTGGCCTTGAGGTCGGCCACCTCCTGGGCGTACTTCTCGTTGGCCGCCCGGAGCTTGTCCACCTCGGTCTGGTAGGTCTTTAGCATCTTCTCGTACTTGTCCTGGAGCAAGGTGCTGTCCCGCTGGTGCTCCCTGCTGGCCGACAGCAGCCGCTCTCGCAGCCTCAGGGTCTCGGCGGCCTCCGGGTGGTCTGGGGGCGGTGGGCTCGACTGGAGGAGACAGTGCTGCAGCTCTTCAATCTCACCTCTCCGCAGGCTCAGCTCCTCCTCCAGCTGCAGCACCCGAGATTTCTCGGCCACTGTGGTCAGCTGGTGGGAGAGAGAGGAGACCAGTCGGTGGCCAGGGATTACCGCAGGGGACATGCCAGCCATGATGGGGGCAACCTACCCCTACCTGGGTACCGGCTGTTCTCGGGGACCTTCCGTACCCCAAATAATGGGGTGAAGCAAATGTCCTCATTGCTTCGGTGGGTTAGGACAGGTCAGCGCACGACCGAGTTATTGCTCAGGGCTTTCTGGAAGCTAACGCTTCATGGGTATGGCATATCTCAGCAACCTCCCTGCCTCAGCCTCCCAGGTGCTGGGGTTACAGGTATGCATCCCTCTGCCCAGCTGGACAACCTTCTCCTGACTTGCAGTCTGTGGAGCTCTAGCTCCGGGGGCCTGTCTAGAGGGCACTAAACTATCTGGTGAGTTCCCTGCACATTCTGGCACACAAGTGCCTATAACCACCAGGCAATGGCCAGTGTGCACACAAACCTATCTGTCCCCAGATACCCACATGCCCTGCACAGTGCTACGGCCACCAAGCAGAAACCGGGCCCTGGCCTCAAGCCTCCAGATGTCTGCAGGGTGGTTTTCTTGATCGATGCTTGCGGCCAGGTTAGACTCCTCCCAGAAGTACACGTACAAAGGTGTGGAGGGGCCAACTAGACCTGGAGTTCGGGATACAGAACCACACCCTAGACCTGACTGGGTGTTCTCCCAAATAGAGCTTCTCAGGAACTCCCTAGCACACTGTAGGCCTAAGGCTAGACTCTGAGGCTGACACAGTCTCATCCTTTGAGGATATCCCAAGGCATTGTGAGCCCCAGGTCCTCCAGGCTGGCCCTCTGCCTCCACTTTTACAGCCTCTGGGCTGGGGCCCTCAGTCTACATTCCAGTCTGCCGACCCTCCTCAGCAGCGTGGACAAGGAAGCCATGTCCACCCAAGTGAGGGCAGACCACTCCCGGGAGGCTTCTGTGGCACTGGACAGGAGGGAGACACAGGAGAGGGTCTCACAGAGATGCCTCAGCCCAAGGAGCCGTGAACTTGGGAGCAATCCCAGAGGACCAAGACTCCCTTCCCTAAGAGCACTTGGGCATCGAAACCTCAACCTCCCCTCCCAGAGCGGGGACGGAAGGGAATCTAAAGAGCAAATAGTGAGAGCAGCCATTATGATGGCTGAGAAACTGATAAAAAAAGCAAAGGGGGCGGCACATGGAGGGGCCAAGGTGCTGGCTGGGTGGGTGGCAGTGGGCGTGTTTACCCTGTTATCCGCTAATTCTTTGAGCAGCCGCTCGGCCTGCGCCTTCTCCAGTAGCAGGCTCTGCTCCAGCTCACCAATGCGCGCATGCTCCAGCTGGGTCTGGGTCTGCTCCACCCAGGGAGGGGGGGCGGGGGGGACAGGGCAGACAAGGAAGGCAGGGGTGTGGGGAAGAGGGCACAAGGATCAGGAAGCCGGAGAAAGAAAGGGCGTGAGAAGGAAAAAGAGAAAGAGAGAGAGAGAAAGAGGAGGCGTCACCTTCGTTGAACAAGACTGTGAAAATAGATCAACTGAGCCAGAATTGCTTGGGGAAGAGAGAGGAGGTCTCAGAAGTGGGGTGCACGGTGGGGGCGCTGGGTGCCCTCCCCTCACTGTGGCTATGTTCAAGGCAGAGGGGGCTGTGGGAACCATCCCTTGCCAGCCTCTGGCAATGCAGCAATGGGTACTCCCAGTTTCTCTCCCTCCCCCCATAGGCTTTATTTATAGTAAAATCAATCCTATTTAGTCAGTTAGTGAGTGAGTGTGTGTGTACACACAGTGCACATGAGGGCAGTTAAAGGACAACTTGCAGGGGTCCAGTTGTCTCCTTCCCTGGATGCCGGGATCAAACTCCGACCTTCAGGTTTGGCAGCAAGCGCCTTTACCTGCTGAGCCATCTTGCCAGCCCTTCTCCCCCTCGCCCCTCCCCCCCCTTTTTTTTCTTTTTTCGGTCACTGTATAGTTCTGGCTGGCCTTTGAATGCTCTATACAGGCCCTGAGCTCACAAATTATCTGCACGTCTCTGCCTCCTGGGTGCTGGGACTCTTTTTCTTCTTTTGAAACAGGGTTTTACTCTAGAGCCAAGGCTGTCCTAACACTCACTGTGTACTCCAGTCTGACCTTTGAACCTGCAACCCAGACTCAGCCTACCGACTGCTGGGTTTGCAGGTCGGGATGCGCCTTCACTTCCAGCTTTAAGTTGTCTTAGGTACAGCATCCTGTACATAGGATGAATGAATGAAATGAATGATCCCAGGACCTCAGGACCCCCAGGCCTGCATTCAAGGGGAACAACCAACAGGACCAGGCTGCGAAGCCATTCTGACTGTTTAGTTTTCATGAGACAGGGGTTCACTATATTGCCAAGGCTGACCCCCACTTCCCAAGTATGAAGACCGTAGGGTGCCCAGCTTGGCCTGGAACTCAGTATGTAATCCAGGATGCCCTTGAAGCTGCGATCCTTCTGCCTCAGCCTCCCTAATGCGGGATGACAGGTATGTGCCACAATGCCTGGCTAGCTCAGCTCACACCAGCTCAGTCTCCTCTGGCAGGCCTCCTGGGTGGGACAGCCCTGCCTGGAGCCTGGCTCAGTCAACAGCCCTCCTCCGCAGCCTTCCCCAGATTCTGTAAGGGTTGCCTGGTCTCTGCAAGCACAAGGGCACTTTTGTCCCCTCTTTACAACACCCGTTTCTTTCGCAAACAAAGCACAACATTCTCCAAGTGGCACAGGGCTGACATTTGGAGGGCCCATGATGCATTTCTGCAAGTAGGGAAGGAGGCGGGGAGGACGTGTGTCCTGGGGTACTCCTGAAGACCAGACTGAAAGCCAGGCTTGTCTGGGGAGAGAGGGGAAGGTGCCGCTCACCCTGAGAGGAACACAGGTTAGAGCAATCTCACCTCCACCCCGAAACCCTGCAGCAAGTCCGCAGGGACCGGTGGGGAATACTCAGATGACAGCAAGACTTGGCCAGCCATGAAAGTGGAACCCAAGCACCCGACAATGGTCAGCAGAGGAAAAGCCAGAGGGAGGCCTTATGAGCAATGATGAGTTTAGTGATGAAGACAGTCGAGGATGGGGTGACCCAGCCCAAAGGGACCGAGTGTACTGTTTGGGACAGGTTCAGCTTTCAGCTCTGTGTGTGGGTGCCTGTGTGTTCATATGTACAAGGAGAACAGAGGTGGATGTCAATTTTTTTTTTTTTCAGAAGGGGGGCTATTTCAAGACAGGGTTTCTCTGTGTGGCTCTGGCTATCCTGGAACTCACTATATACTGGCCTTGAATTCAGAGAGAAAGAGAGAGAGACGTTTCTGCCTCTGCTTCCTGAGTATAGGATTAAAGGCATGCATCACTCTGGCAAATGTCAGGTCTTAATCACTCTGTTATCAGTGAGACCCTGTTTTCTGAGACAGGGTCTCACTGAACCTTCCAGGTCATCCAGCCATCTCAGCTATGAGGTTAGGCATGTGCCAGGCCCATTTTTTATTTGTTTGTTTTTTGAGACAGGGTTTCTCTGTGTAGCCCTGGCTATCCTGGAACTCACTCTATAGTCCAGGCTGGCCTCGAACTCAGATATCCGCCTGCCTCTTCCTCCCAAGTGCTGGGATTAAAGGCGTGTGCTGCCATGCTTGGTTGTCATGCCCATTTGTAATGAAAGTACTAGGGATGCAAACTCAGGCTGTGTATTGATAAGCCTCATCCTGGGTCCTCACTGGGGTGTCTACACAGGTGTTCAGCTGAGTCATGTCTCCAGGCACCACCCCCACAGTTTGGGTCTCTAGGTAAGCTATCTCCTGCTGAGTCACACCCCCAACCCTTGTTTTTGGCTGATAAAATCTTCTTTGGATTTATGTATTTTATGTGTGTGAGTGTGTTTTCTGCATGGATGTATAATGCCAGGTCTGCACAGTGCCCTTGGAGGCCAGAAGGCATCAGCTCCCCCAGAACTGGAGTTGCAGATGGTTGTGAGTCATCATGGATGCTGGGAACAGAGCTCAGGTCGTCTACAAGAACAGCAAGTGCTCTTAATAACTGAGTGCTCTCTCTGGTGCCAGTTTTGACTTTTTAAAAAAGATTTGCTTTTATCTCTGTGTGTGTGCGCGCACACGCGCGTGCAGGTGAGATGGAGGTCAAAAGGGGGTGCCCTAACCCGTGCCGCTGGAGATCCAGGAGGTTGTGAGCCATCTGAAAACTGAACCCCAGGTTCTCTGGAAGTGTAGTGTGTGCTCTTAGCCGCAGAGCCATCTTGATAGCCTCTTGGTTTGTCTTTGCAGATGAGTGGGGAAGAGGCAAGGCAGCCACAAGCTTGTAATCCTAGCACCTAGGGCAGAAGAATTCCGAGTTCGAAGGCTAGCCTGGGCAGTCTCAAAAAACCCAATCCAAATGAAATGTGTGTGTAGATAACTCAGGCTTTAGCTACGTTCACATTCTGGTTGCTCCAAATGTGGTTACAATGTAGTCTTTAGGATACAAAAATCAAAATAGGATGTGACAGTCTTTCTGGCTAAACTGGCACTGCTGGTCCTGTCCCCCTGCCTCAATGCCTGCCAGCTATTGGCAGGCCTGGGACCAATCCGCTCCTCTCCGGGGGATAACTTGAGTGGGAGCCTCTGGCAGCAGAGAGCAGATGTAAGAGACACCAACAGACAGGCGGCAGACAGGCAGGCTGATCTGGACTCACCAAGGGTCCACCCCGGCCCCAGCTCCTTGAGCGGCTGGCCTTGGGAGGTCTGCATTTCCCCGCACTCACTCTTGCCTAAGCCTCTGTTGATGGGAGCAGGTGGAGGGGGCTCAGTTCTGGCAGCCCCCTCCCCCACAAGCCCACCCATCTGTCCCCTGCACGGGGACTGCTGTTCTTCAGATAAGCCAGCCAGACAGACTAACCACCTGTCCTGTCCCTTTGGCTGAAAACACACACACACACACACACACACACACACACACACACACACACACAC